CTCCCCTCCTTCTCTCCTCTCCTCCCCTCTCCCCTCCTTCTCGTCCTCCTCCTCCTCCTCCTCCTCCTCCTCCTCCTCCTCCTCCTCCCTACAGGAGCGGAGGAGAAACCAACGGCATTCAGTAGGAGCTCCACCACAAGAAGCCTTCCACAGGAAACCCAACCCTGAGACCGAGACCCCAGGAGGGTCTATGCGCCATCCTGGGACCCCGGATGGCCCTGGCCTGGCACGGTGGGGGTGAATAGATGCACGCGTCGGAGCCCAGCCCCGCGCCGCCCTCCGCGCAGGGGGCGCCCAGACCTCTCCCGACACCCCCACAGGAGCAGAGGAGAAACCAACGGCACACAGTAGGGGCTCGACACCAAAAAAACCTTGCACCCTGAGACCCCAGGACGTCCGTGGGCGTTTGGTGTGGGCACGGGGCGCTGTCCACTGCAAAACCGTCGAAACCCAAGAAAACCCAGGGCACCCTGGAGGCAAGCAGGGCTCCTCCTCCTCCTCCTCCTCCTCCTCCTCCTCTCCTCTCTCTCATCATCATCATCATCATCATCATCATCATCATCATCATCATCATCATCATCATCATCATCATCATCAATCATCATCATCATCATCATCATCATCATCATCATAATCATCATCATCATCATCATCATCATCATCATCATCATCATCAATCATCATCATCAGCATCATCATCATCATCATCAGCTCATCATCATCATCATCAGCATCATCATCATCAGCATCAGCATCAGCATCATCATCATCATCATCATCATCATCATCATCATCATCATCATCATCATCATCATCATCCTATTCCTCCTCCTCCTCCTCCTCTTCCTCCTCCTCCTCCCCCTCCCCCTCCTCCTCCTCCTCCTCCTCCCTCTCCTCCCTGGAGGCCAGCACGTCGTCTCCTGGCGTGGGTTTCCACCGTGCAGCCCGACGCGCCGCCACAGGGAGCGGCAGGCAAGGCGCGAAGGAACCTCCCTATGACCACCGCGAGCCTCGGCCACGAGTCCGGCGACCCCTCGGCGTGTATGAGACGCTGTCGTCGTCTTCGGCGTCGTCGTCGTCGCCAGTCCCTTTTCCGAGCAGGAAGAAGGAGGAGGTGGAGGTGGAGGAGGAGGACAGGACAGGACAGGACAGGACAGCCCGCGCATTGGCACCAAACTAGGGTGCTGCGGGTGTGGCGCCGGAGCGCCGGACATTACGGCAAAGGAAAAAACAGCGGAGGAGGAGGACGACGACGAAGAAAACGAGGCCCGGTCTGAAATTCACATGTGGTGTTGCGTAAACTGTGCTCCAATATCCTGCCAAGAATCATTTGATGCAAGATCAAGAATAGCTGAAATACTCATGCCGCCACATTCCAACGTATCTTCGAGATGGTTTCTGACGTCATCGATCCATCTGGTTTTTGGTATTCCCGTCCTGCGTCTGGCATTATATACTGGGTCATGTTGTGGAGTCCATTGAATGACTTGTCGCATCCATTCCAGTTCCCCCGTTGCACTCAACTTCCGTACCCACTGCCATTTCCTCTGCCGTACTGTCGAGACCCAGTCGTCGATTCTTAATTTTGCGATTGCTGCTTCAGCCTTGTGTGTGGCCCGCTTGATCCAATCGACCCATGGCTCCAAAACAACAGCGTTCGCTCATGGATCCAATCGACCCATGGCTCCAACATCGACCCATGGCTCCAAAACATCGTGGAGGAGGAGGGGGGAAATGAAATTGAGACGAGCAGAAAACAGAAACACCGTGGTCAAGTCGATGCCGTCCCATCTTCCCTCCTTGACCGGGGGGGGGGGGGCATAGGGGTGGGCGGGGGGGGATAGCGTCAGAGGTCGGGCATGTCCCCCCCCTACGGGGGGATTCTGGACGAACAGGTAAAGACAGTCAAACGATATTCAAGAATGGTTGAAAAGAGTCAACACTTGGCGGCGCGCAGAGGGGGGTGGAGGGAGGGGGGGAAGGCTTCTTAGAAGGAGGCTGCTTCTTAGAAGGCGCCGGCCTCACATCTGTAGATGAGGCCCGCGCCTTCTAAGAAGCAGGGGTGCTTCTAAGAAGCCCTCCCCCCCCCCCACCCCCTCTGCGCGTGGCTGAAACACATCGTCCCCAGACTATTTTTTGACTCCGTATGAAGACCTCTCCTGCAGAGGGACACGCCCGACTCGAGGTTCGAGGGGGGGTCCTGGGTCAGCTTGCCGCCCTCCCTTGGGTCCCGGCGGCGCCCCCTTCCCTTCCCCGCTCCGCCCCGTGGACAGGAACGGACGACGGCAAGGCGGCTACCTTGTCGAATGGGGCCCAGTGACACACATAGATACACATACATCCCAGGATTCCCCATCATTCCAGAACAAATTCTGCGTTTTCGTTTTCCCCATCAATTCCCATATGTTCCCACATATCTTCCTGGGAAGGACGACGCCAAGGCGGTTACCCTGTTGAAGGGGCCCACTGACACACAAATAGATACACATAAATCCCAGGATTCCCTATAATTCCCCAACAAGAAATCTGCGTTTTCGTCTTCCCCACCACTTCCCATATTTTCCTACAAATTTTCCAAGGAGTCGACGATTGGTTATGTCTGTGTGTTTTTCCCACTCCTGACCTGCGCGGTGGGGTCCTAGACGGGGGTCCCAGGACTATGTTGCTCCCGCCGTACCCAAGGGCCGCATCCCAGAAAGAACTGCGAGCACCCAGAAAAGCATCGAAACAGTATCCAACGAGATTCGCTTCCCAAGGCCCGACGCGTGAAAACCCTCCGGTCTCGGTACTTTCTTGGTGCTCGAGATTTTTCCTGGTGATCAATCAAACCTAGAGTCGGTTGGGACATCCTAGCACCAATGGAAGTCCCGTCTGTGGTGGGGGCAGGAGAGCCCGGAATCGAATCGATAAGTCGGATCGGCGATCGAAATGAATCGGATCGGCAGAAATCGGCAGTCGAGTCGGGAAAAGTTAGATCGGCAGGAATCGGCAGACTAGTATGCCTCCGATAAGAGATCGGAACGCACCTCGGAATTCCAAGTCGGATCGGAGCGGAATCGGGAGCCATCGAAATCGAATCGAATCGAATCGGAGGAATCGAAACGAGCCTTGTGGGGGAGGGTGGTACCGTGTCAGGATCGGGGGCGCGCAAACACGGAGGAGCGATTCATGGATTAGGTGCGCGGTCGCCTAATCCACGGATCGGGGGAAGTGCCCTCCCCAAAATGCGGCTAGCGCTGCCTCGTTCGGCGGCGAAAGTCCGCGATCTCCCACGGAAATGGGACCCGTCGCTAATCCACGCCCCGTTGATCCGCGTTTGCGATCGCCCGAATCGGGGAACACCGGGGCATCTAGAAATCCTTGAGGTCGAGAAGTGGAGGAGAAGGAGGAGGAGGAGGGGGAGGAGGAGGAGGAATAGGAAAAGTCCGGCGCCCAGGGCCGGTCTCCCGAAGGCCGGCCGCGTATTGCACACGCCCAGCCAACGAACTACCGCCAAGAAAGCAGCAACAGCCGCGCAGGAAGGGCATAGGGGGTGACCACGTCGCGGCAAGCGAGGGGGGGGGAGGCGAGGAGGAGGAGGGCTGCTCGGCGGGCGGCGGGCTCCGCCAGCGGCGAGCGAAGGGGGGGGGGGGAGCCAGAAGGAGGAGGCCTTCTCTGAGGGCGGCGGGCTCCTCCTCCTCGTCCTCGTCCTCGTCCTCGTCCTCGTCCTCGTCCTCGTCCTCGTCCTCGTCCTCGTCCTCCTCCTCCTCCTCCTCCTCCTCCTCCTCCTCCTCCTCTCGGTACGTTCCCTTTCTGCGACCTCCTGACAGCATGCCGGCCCCCCGGGGGTTCCAAGCGGGGGGCGCCGGCGGGATCTCCCGGGGGGCAGGTCCCGCCTCCAGGGTCCCAGGCCCCCTCGGGCGAGGAGGAGCAGAAATCACGGCAGCTGGTTTTCCGCAGTGGCCAGCCGCTGGGGTCAGGTCGGGCATGCCCCCACACACAGGCGGATGCTGTACGAAAAATAAGAAGTCAGCAAGGGGCTCCAGGATGGGCTCCCCGACGAAGATCTAAGGGACGGCCGGAAGACTAGAGCCCCTCCTGAGCCCAGAGATAGGTCGGGCATGTCCTCCTACAGGCGGACTTTGGAGGAACAGTAAAACATACTCAAAAGTTTTTTTTAACAAAAAAAGAAAGAAAATCGTCCCCATGCTTCGAAAAATGTAGATTCCTCCTTTAGAGGGATGTGCCCCGCGTAAGCCCAGAGTGGTCCTTCTTTCAGCGTGCGTTCTGACCAGAATTTCGAGGTGAATCCAGAGGTGGCCACGAGGGCTCCCCAGGAGGCCCAGAAAGGGGAGAAACCGATGGAAGGGCAACAGTATCGGTACCATTTCCTCCTTAGGGTTTTCTTGGGATCGTTCAACTTTCAACCATCTGCGGCTGCGCCAACAATTTTGCGATCCATGGGCCCCAGAGGTCTGGACCACTTCCCCAGGGCCGGTGTCTCCTCCTGAGCCGCTGTCTGGCGCCCCCGAGGCCCGGCGAGGGCCCCGGGAGGCCGATCTCGGCCGAAGACCCGCCGCTCTGGTCTCAATGGCCTTCCATTGGGTTTTTGCCTGGGCGTGGGCCCGCCTGCAGCGGGGGAGTGGGGCACAGAATGGGTTTCTCCTGGTCCAGTTCGCTGCAAGCGTGGGCCAGTCATCAGGCTTTGAAAGATCCTGCAAAATCTTCCAGGATCCTGCAACATGGATCCTGCGCGCCAGTCCGGGTCAATGTAGCCCTGGCGTCGCAGGATCCTGCAGGATCCGGCGCTCTGGCTGACCCCCGCTCTTGCCATCGCTCGGACGTTCATTCCCCATGCATTTGTCGGCTTCGCGCGTGTACTTTTGGCACGATTATCCACGGTGCTCCTCGATGGTGCCCGCAAAGGAAAAAACAAAAAACAAAAAAACGTCCAAGCGATGCCAAGTCTCATGGCTCCCGAACATGGCAGCCCTCCTGCAGCCCGGGGCAGGCAGCGGCGCCTGCAAGCCCGCGCTCCGGGCGACCTCGCGCATGCCGACGCCCAGCTCCATGCGCGTCGCGATGACGAGGATGCAGGCAGAAACGAGGCTCTTCAGCTGCTCCCCCTGGGTACAAGAGAAGCAAAAATTGAGGCGACATAGTTGACTCTGGACACGTTCGGATTGGTGAAAAGGGCAGCAGGCGCTGGGCACGGGGTCGTGATAGGATTAGCTCGGGACACGCTCCAACATTTCCAGAGGATCTAGCGCCCTTCGTTTATGCGGCAGGTGTGTTACATTCAAGATATTGGAGACTCTGGGGCTCCTGGAACGTCACCCGTGCAAAATCTCCGCGCAGGAGGGTGGGGGCGACCAGGATGACGGACCGGCGACGCCAGAACAATCAGCTGGAAGACGGTAGTTAAGATGCCCCTTTGGGTCTCCCGGGCCCCTCCTTCATCGGAGCGTTGAACGACTCCTGGGCAGCGAAACGTTACAGGACCTTACAATGGCCCAACCGAGGTGGGACCTTCCCAAACCCCCAACGTACACTGACAGGTCCCGACCCACTCCCCTGGACCAGCTTTTCCTCCTGAGTGTCTTTTCGGAGGTCCCGAAGGCAGGCGAAGGCATCCCGAAGCCGAACATACTGAAAAAACCTCCCGTCATGGTTTTCTTCATTGCCAGAGGGCGCTTGGGTCTGCGAGAAGCACACAGGGGGTGGACACACGTTGATGGTGGCAGACCCGCGGCTGTCGGAGAGGGAACTGGCCCGCTTGCTCCTGCCCGCGGAGAAGGGAATGACAGGAAGAGCAATCTCTCACCGTGCCCCCGTGGCTCGTGTAGGCGTGACTACAAGGTGCCCCAAAACCCGTGGAGGCCCCCGGGAACCACCGCGAGAGAACAATTATGCTCCTCCCCCTCCTAGCCCCCGCTTCCCGTCCCTCTCCTCTTGCGCCTCCTCCTCCTCCTCCCTCCTCTTCCTCCTCCCTCCTCTTCTCCCGTCTACCCGCCTCCCGCCTACCTCCTGCTCCTCCTGCTCCTCCTGCTCCTCCTCCTTTTCCTCCTCCTCCTCCTCCTCCTCCTCCTCCTCCGTCTTTTTCTTCCTCCTCTCCTCCCTCCTCCGCCTCCTCTCCTCCCTGTTCCTGCTCCTCCGTGCTCCTCCTGTTCCTTGTGTTCCTCCTCATGCTCCTCCTGCTCCTCCTCCTCCTCCTCCTCCCCCACCCTCCCTCCCTCGTCCCTCTTCCCTCCTCGAAAGAGAGAAAAAAAAGAAGGAATGCCAAGGAAAGCCATGGAGGGACCGACGTCCGTCAAAACAGAGCAGGTTAGTCCGACGAGGAGTCCCCGCCCCCGCGGCGGGGGACGTGCGCAGGCGGCGCGCGCAGGGCCCTATTCGGCGAAGAAGCACAAGCCGTCGAGGCGGGCGGCGCCGGCGGTGGCGCACGCGCGCCCGCGCGCGGGCCCACCGGGCCCCCCCCCCCCCGACATCCCCCACGACGACGACGCTCCATCGCCACCCACCTTCACATCTGGTTCCTCCACCCCCTCGCCCCTCCCCAATCTCCAAGCCGCAGCCGCCGCTGTGGCAACAGCACGCGGTGGTCATCTGCGGGAAGGGGACAAGCCGCGAAGTAACCTGAGTAGGTTGAGAATACCTTGGGGGTGGAGGACCTGCATGAAAATGCAAGCCATCTTCCGTCGACGGTGACCGTGGACCCGCAGGTCGACAAAAATGCAAGGACAACGTCGGCCAACAAAACAAGGTGCGGGAGGTTCGTGCCGCAGTCGCCCCAATGAGCACCTCCCCCGTGCAAAGCACAAGCTGGGACCAGCCCGAGGTCATAGAGGAGGCACCAGGGGCCTGACCTGGACACGACTGCGAACGGACGGTACAACTCCACCTGCCAGCGATCTGTTCGCGCGCGTGTGCCGTCTCCTCCAGCGCGACACTCGACTTGGCCACCCTCGTGGCCTGCCACGGGTCGAACTGCGGAAAGACAAAGAGGCAATGGGTGCCCTTCTCGCGCAGCGGCTAAGGTGAGCTGAGCATTCGTGCGTGTCCGTCCTGGGGGCAGGGTGCTTAACAAACTCGTTTTGCGAACGGTCCGCGGCCTCCCCAGCCCTGGTTGTCAGCGCACACGGCGCCCGCAGTCAAAAACATGTCGGACATGGCGCCCACAGTCACAAGCAGTCCAAATGCATGGCGGCCCCTGCCCAGGGAGGGCGCGCAACTCTGAGAGCCGAGAGGTGCCGCGATGAGAGCAGGGAGGGGCCACGAGAGCGCGCCCGAAGGGGGGCGCGAAGGCGCGCCTCTCAGCCGCAAAGGCGGATCCGATTCCCGCTGGGCCGCCGCCTGAGCAATCAGCTCCTGAGTGGCGTCGATATCGGGGTGGTCCCTGTTCGCCTCGCACTGCCAGGTTTTGCGGAACAATGTCTCGGGGGCCGCCGTGCACCTCGGACGCGTCGCGTCGATGGCGCAGCCTGCGCCCGCCCGCCGCCGGCGCGGTCACAGACCGCCCGCGGCAACGCGCAGGTTCAAAACCCAAAGGTCCTCCTCCCCTTTGGTTTCGAATCGACGCGGCTCCTGCTGGGGCTGAAGGAGGTCAGCTCCTGCTTTCAAATGCTCTCCGCGCTCGCGCCACACTCGTCCCCCGCCACTGTCGCGCGCGCATCTGGCGCAAATCCAGCCAGCTGGTCCGAATGATCAGGCATTGCCACCACGCAAATGGCGCGCGCCCCCTGGCTCTTGCATCTTGGAGATGCGAGGGGCGGGGGGCTTTCGCCCCCCTCCTCCAGGGGCCACTTCCGCGGCCCGAAGGGGGGCGAACGGCGGGCGACCCGCGAGCGACAAACGAAAATAAAGAGGTCCGAGCTCTAGATCACGGCCGCGCAAGAGAATCAACGCGCCCAAGCTCTCAAACACAACGGGCGAATCCAGGGGGGCCAGGGGGGGCGGCGAACGAGTGGGCCATGGGGGCGGGCTGGGTCCAGGGCCAAGCTAGGGGGGCCAGCGGGGCCAAGGAAAGGGGGGGCGGGCTGGGCCCAAGGCAACGGCGGGGGGGGGGGGGGGCCCAGGGCATGGCCAGGAAGGCCAGGGGGGGGACGAATGACGAATGAACGAACGACGACGACGAACGACGAACGAGCAAACGGCGACGACGAAAATAAGGGGGCCGCGGGGGAGGAGGGCGACGAGCGGAAGGCCGCGGGGGGGAGAGCCCGAGCCGCGGCCGGGGCGGCCAAGGGGGGGCGAACGACGAACTAACGAACGACGACTGCGAAACTGACGAGCTAAAGGACACAGCTGTGAAGGATCATGAAGTAGGTGGTCGGAGCGGAATGGGGGCCGGCGCCGGGCCGCGCCGCAAGGGCGCGGTCGGGGCAGAGGGGCGCACTAACTTGCGGGGTGGGGGCGCGGGGGGGGCGGCGACGCGTCGGGGCGGAAGGGGCGCACGGATGGCGAAGGCGACGGGGCCGCCGGAGGCAGCTGGGGGCGCGTGGGGGAGGGGGGGGGGGGGGGCGACGCGAACGTGTGGCACGCGTGCCATGGCTCTTGCGCAAAACTGGCGGGGGGGGAAAAAGGGGCAAGACGTCGCCCCTCGGGGCCCAGCAGCGGCGCCCAAATCCCTGATGGGCAAGTTGTTCAAGGGGGGGGCGGCGCGCAGGGGCGGAAAGGGCACTTGGCGGGGCTCGGGGCAGAGGGCCACGGGGCGGAAGTCCAACTGGAGCGCTGGGGGCGGGGGGGGGAGGTGGCGCGCGGCGCGACGCGGAAGAAAATTGCTGGGGCGGGGGGCACGGGGCGGGGCCCCCGCCGGGGCCCCCGCCGGGGCGCTGGGGGCGCGGGAAGGGAGGTGGGGGAGGCGGCGTGCGCCACGACGCGGAATACAACGTTCGCGCTGGAGGGGGCAGCGGGCGGGGCCCCCGTCGGGGCGCCAACGGCGCGGGGGGGCTCGGGGCAGAGAGCCGCGGCGCGGAGTCTGGCGGCGCAGGGAGGGGAGGGGAGCGACACGGAATAAAACGTTCGCGGCGGAGGGGAGACTAGGCCGGGCCCCCGCTGGGGCGCTGGGGGCGCGGGGGGGCCCGGGGCGGAGAGCCGCGGCGCGGCGGCCCCGCTCTGGCGCTGGGGGCGCGGGGGCGAGGGCGGGAGTGCGACGCTGAGTAAAACGTTCATGGCGGAAGGGGGCAGCGGGCGGGCCCCCCGCTGGGGCGCTGGGGGCGCGGGGGAGGCCCGGGGCAGAGAGCCGCGGCGCGGGCGTCGCACTCTGGCGCTGGGGGCGCGGGGGGAGGGGGGGGGGAGGGGGGGCGTGTGCGACGCGGAATGCAATAGTCGGAGCTCTAGACGCCCTGCGCAAGAGAATAATCGGGGCGGAGGGGCCCTCAGCAATTGGGGGCAGATGGGCGGCGATGACACGGGGGCCGCTGGGGGCAGAGCTAGAAGCGGTGGCGCGGCGGGGGGGGCGACGCGAAACAAGCGGGGAAGGAGGGGGGCGGGGGAAGAGGGGGGCGCGACGCGACGCGGAATGAAATTGTCGGGGCAGAAGGGGCGCTGGGCGGCTGGGGAAGGGGGGGCGACGCGACGCGGAATGCAAGGTTGGGGCGGAGGGGGCACCGGGCCGCTGAGGATCGCCGGGGAAGGGGGCGGCGGGGGCGGGTGGAGCGGGTGTGCGACGCAAGGCGGAGTGGAATAGTCCCGGCAAGGGAGGCTGGGCGGGGGTTCTACTGGGGCGCGGGGGAGCGCTGCGGAGAAGAGCGCGACGCGACGCGGAATGAAGTAATCGGGTCGATGAGGGCGCTGGGCCATTGGGAAACGCCGGGGAGAGGGTGGCGGGCGCGGCGGGGGGTGCGATGCGCGGTGGGATAATGTGGTCGGGGCGGACGGGGGCACTGGGCCGCAATTCGCCTGGGGCGGGGGGGGGCGCGGGGGGGGAAGGGCGGCGCCGCGCGGGGTAAAGTGGCCGGGGCGCAAGGGGGCTGGGTCGCCGGAAACGCCAAGGAAAGGGGGCGGCGGGGGCGCGGGGGGGGGGGGGGCGCGGCGCGAGGCGGAATGGAATGGTCGGGGAGGCGGCGCGCTGCGGCTGGGCGGGGGCTGGGGGGGCGGTCGACGCGACGACGCTGAATAAAAAAACGCCGGGGGGGGGCACTGGGTCGCCGGGGAACGCTGGGCGGGGCGCGGGCGGCGGGCGGGCGCGCCGCGGGGCGGGGCGCGGCGCAGAATAACGCCGTCGGAGCGGAGTGGGCACTGGGCAATAGTTCGACCGGCGCGCGGGCGAACGCTGGAGAAGGGGTGCGCGACGCGACGCAGGAGAAAATGATCGGGGGCGGAGGGGGGGCGCTGGGCGCTGGGGAACGTCGGGGGGGGGGGGGGGGGGGGGCGGATGCGGAGGTGGGGGGAGGGGGGGCACGGCGCGAATGAAATGATCGAGGCGGAGGGGGCACTAGGCGGGGCCCCACTGGCCGGCGGGGAACGTGAGGGGGGGGGGGGGCGGCGGCACTGAGCCGCCTGGCGGCGCCGGGGAGGGGAGCCGAGGGCAGGGGGGGGGGGGCGTGCGATGCAGCGCGGACTGACGCACAGAGGTGCTCGGCGTCTTAAACCAAGAGGCGAAAGTCCGGTTCGAAACATTAAGAAGCAGGTCCATATACTAAGACCATCATCGCATACGTTGACTTTAGACAGTGAACATACGTTGCGATTGGAAAAGGAAAGAATTCGCTACGCTTCGCGTATCCCCACCAGCCCATCTCACAGCAGCAACTCTCGCGAAGCATGCCGACAATCGTGTTTTTCAGGCGTGTGTCCGCTTGGCCCCGCATATCCCCCCTGTTCCTCCTTCCCCCCGCCTCCTTGCACATCCTCTTTGTGAGGGGAGCGGGAGAAGGACGAGGCGGAGGAGGAGGGAGAGAAAGCGCTCCTCGTGATTCGAGTCGTTTGGGGTTTCTCGTCCTGGTGTGAGTCGTTCGGGCCCTCTTCCTGGTGTGAGTCGTTCGGGCTCTTCGTGGTGTGAGTCGTTCGGGCTCTTCGTCCTGGTGTGAGTCGTTCGGGCTTCTCGTGGTGTGAGTTGTTCGGGCCCCTCATCCTGGTGTGAGTCGTTCGGGCCCCTCCTCCTGGTGTGACTCGTTCGGGCTCCTCGTGGTGTGAGTCGTTCGGGGCCCGCGTCGTGGTGTGAGTCCTTCGGGCTCCTCGTGGTGTGAGTCGTTCGGGCGCCTCGTCCTGGTGTGAGTCGTTCGGGCCCCTCCTTGTGGTGTGAGTCGTTCGGGCTCTTCGTGGTGCGAGTCGTTCGGGCCCCTCGTCCTGGTGCGAGTCGTTCGGGCTCCTCGTGGGGCCTCTTGGGGGCCTCTTGGAGCCTCGTGGGGCCTCTTGGGGGCCTCTTGGGGGCCTCTAGGGGCCTCGTGGGGCCTCTTGGCCTCTTGGGGGCCTCTTGGGGGCCTCATGGGGCCTCGTGGGGCCTCTTGGGGGCATCTTGGGGGCCTCTTGGGGGCCTCTTGGGGCCGCTTGGGGGCCTCTGGGGGGCCTCTTGGAGGCCTCTTGGAGGCCTCCCGGGGGCCTCTTGGGGCCATCTTGGGGCCTCTTGCGACCTCCTCAGAAGCGCAAATGAGAGCTGCCCCCAG